GGATTGTTTGAGCTCAGGAGTTCGAAACCAGCCTGAGCAAGAGCGAGACCCCGTCTCTACTAAAAATAGAAAGAAATTAATCGGACAACTAAAAATATACAGAGAAAAAATTAGCTGGGCATGGTGGCGCATGCCTGTAGTCCCAGCTACTCGGGAGGCTGAGGCAGTAAGATCGCTTGAGCCCAGGAGTTTGAGGTTGCTGTGAGCTAGGCCAACACCATGGCACTCACTCTAGCCCAGGCAAAAGAGTGAGACTCTGTCTCAAAAAAAAACAAAACAAACAACAAAAAAAAACAAGTACCAGAAGACATAAATTTGAAGGGTGTCTTATTTCTCATATCCAAAGAACTCTGTCTCTTCACACCTTCAAACATCATGATCATTCACAATGATCCATTCATCTTTAAGTTAAGAGCATTTGTAGAACCACATTGTTTTTCTTAAATACTCATTTTCCTCTTTAAATCTAGTTAATATATTATTAAAGCACTCGAGGAAACTTAACCATAAAAAGCCAAACAATGTAAATCTTCAAAGTCTTACTTTGTACTTCACAGACTTCCAACTATAGTTGAAAAGACTGCCTGTCATTGTACCTAATCTACATTTACTTTAATAGTCTGATCACAAAAGTATTTCTTTGGGCTGAAGGACCACTGAGGTGTTGTCAAACCCTTTTCTTTTTTTTTTTTTTTAAATAGCGACGGGGTCTCACTCTTGCTCAGGCTGGTCTTCAACCCCTGAGCTCAAGCAATCCTCCTGCCTCTGCCTCCCAGAGTGCTAGGATTACAGGCGTGAGCCACTGCGCCGGCCCAAACCCTTTTCAAGTAGATGAATTTCTGTATTTCTGTATGAAGCAACACTAGATGGTAAACATCTATCCAGGGAATGCCTATCCTAATAATAAAATTTTATTATGTACAGGTATCCACAGTTGCAACGATTTCAAAATAGTACCAAAAACTAGATGATGAAAAAAATGTTTAAAAACAAGGGAAAAAAAAAAAAACCTTCCTTAGATTTTTTTTTCTTTTTTTTAAGGCAGGATCTCTCGCTCTGTCTCCTGAGCTAGCTAGAGTGCAGTGGCGTCGTCATAGCTCACTGCAACCTCAAACTCCTGGGCTCAGGCGATCCTACTGCCTCAGCCACCTGAGTAGTTGGGCTACTTGATCCACCATACCCGCTTATTTCTCTACTTTTTTGTAGAGACGGGGTCTCACTTCGGCTCAGGCTGGTCTCAAACTCCTGGCCTCAAGCAAGACTGTCCTCAGCCTCCCAAAGTGGTAGAATTACAGACATGAGTCACTGTGCCCAGCCCTTCCTTAGATTTCATTGTATAATATTGGATCTACTGTTAAATAAAAGCAATTAGCACTTTCCTAAGAAATATACAGCAGGAAGATAAAAATTAGAATTTGTAACTCAATCTGTGTATATTAATTCTTGCCTGATAACTTAAAAGCCGCATTACATTAGTCACTGAATTACTGTTTCAGATAAGAATGGCACGTAGTTCAACTTTAATATTTTACAGACTAAGAGAACTCAGAGTAGTAGTTAACTGACTTTCTCAAGCTCACATAAATTTATGCTAAGATCCTCCCCAAACCCTGCTCAATGCTATTTCCACTGCTCTATACAATTTTCTTTGGATATATATATTATTTTCTTTCCAATATCCAAAACAAAACAATATTATTGGTTTCATGCTTTGTCTGTTTTCAAAAACAAATTTTTATAAACTGATTTAAGTATCTTTTCAAGACGCCTGAAGACATTTCATGCTGCTGCATAGAAACCCAAACAAGACTTCTGACAAACGAGGTATACTGATCAAATACACCTAAATATCAGTTATACTCTTCCTGTTTCCAACTTCCACAAGAGTTAGCTTTGAACTGAAACTTAAGAAATGCATTTCCTTTATTCATACTTCCAAGTTACATTTTTAATATTTCAAATAGCTAGACACAAAAATCAAAAGCAATAGCTAACCATAAGGAAACTTTCATTTAGAGGGAGAAAAAGTTCCTTAAATGTGTTAGAAACTGAGCCGTCACATTCTTTTAATTGGAAACTCTAACGCCGGGTACTACCAACCAGAATTTTTTACATTAAAATTCAAACAGCTTAAAAAAAGCTTCTAATTTGCCTCCTGTAGAAAGAAGGTGAAAAACATTTTAATCTAATACTAGAAAAGTGTACAACTTCATAAATTGCGGTTCAAGTTTGCTGAATTAACCACAATTCAAATGTGTTAAATGTTTAAAAAACATCTAAGTCATTAAGACAGTTTAAGTGCACCAAAAAAGGGCAAAAACTTTTGCTTTGCTTTGTTTCCTTAGAGTCTCCATCCCACTGAAGCTGAGTGACTACTTGCTGTGGGTAAAATGATTTTCACGTTCCTTCTTCCTCCGGCTAACATTTTTGGTAAGAGGAAGGCAAGACTCCAGGAATGTGTGTTTAATGCAGCCCTGAGTTCAGTTCCTCCTTTCGTGGGGCAAATAGGGAATAAACTGCCGATGAAGAACTGAAGTAATTTTAAGATTTGTTTTACTTGAAGGTAGGGGTGTACTAACACCTGCCAACTCAGTTTTTAACCGAAGAGGTAAAAGTACCGAGCAATCGTTACAAAACTGGGTAGCAAAGCATGCACGTCATGCTTGCAAAGACTAAATTTTTTTAAATTAAACCTTCAAAGGAACTAGGAACTAGGGAGTAAGCGCCAGGGCGTAATATGTCATTCAGTTACGGCTCTCCAGAGGACCGAGGCGAAGAGATTCATTCCTCAGAGGAACCGAGGCGACCATCCTGCGACTGCGACCAGCGCGAGGGCGCAGCGGGCAGCCGGGCCGTAGGCAGCGGGCGGTCCGGACGCTGGCCCCGAGCCCGAGGAGTTACACTAACAAAGAGCTCACTGCCCCCCGGAGCGGAAGCAGCGCCTCCCCGCCGCCCCCGCCCCGCGACCCTCCCTCCCCAAGTTCAGGGCCCGGCGGCCGACTCGCTGCGGGGCCTGCAGCCAGGCCGGGCTGGCAATCGGGATGCGGGAAACAGGTAAAGGCAAGAATAGAAGCCCCAAAGGGAAGAGAGGGCACTTCCCGACCGGGTCAGCGCAGCAGAAAAGGTAAACGCAGCGGGCGAGAGGCCCTGCTTCCCGGGGAGCCGCCAGGCACAGCGGACGGGGCGCCGCGCTTTGTTACCGGCTGTGAGAAGCTCCGGCCGCCGCCGCTGCCATCGCCCCCGCCCCGGGGCGTCGCTTCCCGGCGGTTTTCGCCTTCCTCAGCCGAGTAGTCGATCTCCCCCTCCTCGGTCTTGAGGCGCTTGGCCTGGCTCTCATACTCCCGGTCCTCCTCGTACGTTTCCCTGGGGGAAGAGGAGGAGGAGGACATGGCGGCGGCCGGAGGGACCGGCGGGCAGGCGGGTGGTGGCGGCGGTGGGGCGCGGGCCTCGGATGCCGCCGGCCAGTCCCCGCCGCGGGCAGCGCCTCTTCAGCGAAGGTCTCCGCTGCTGGGCGGTCCGCGGGGGCCGCGCGCCCAGAGCCGGGTGGCTGAGGAGAGCTGGGGCCTGAGGGGGCTCGCCCCGGGAGGAGGCTCCGGAGCGGCCGCTCCCCTTTATTACCGAGCCAACATTCAGCCTCTCCCTCGTCCGTCTCCTCTCAGAACCCGAGGGAGCGAATCTAAGGATGAGGACGCGACCGTGGCTTCCGGTCTTTCCTCCTCCCCTAATCCGCTCCCCGCCGCCCAGGCCGAGCCTCCGCCCCCGCCTTAGCGGCCGCCGCGCAGGATCGAATCCAGCCGCAGCCCGCGGGAAGCGCCCCCCCACAGCCTGGATCCTGCTCCCTATTGGAAGGGGAAAAGTCGACCAGGCTTCCAATTGGCTCTGAGGGATGCTCGTCAAAAACCGCCCGCGGCCCGGCCTCGCCTCCTAGCCGGCGCCTTCCGAACTCTCCACTGGCCTGAAAGCCCCAGCCGCGCAACGGCCGCCGCCCGCCGCCGGGAGCGGTTGCAGCCGTTGGCGGTGTAAGGCTCCTACCCGAGGCCAGGCTTGGAGTGAACCCGGACGGGAGCTTAAGCGTGCAGTGGCGCCAGGGCTGCGGGTGTTAACCGCCCTCCCGCTAATTTAAATGCTTTTATTCTTTTCAAAAGAGGATGAAGAAAACCTCTAAAATCCCTGCAGACATTCCACAGAGCCCTAAAACTGCAAGGGATGAGGGGAAAAAGGGTTTGGAACCATGAAATTAATTAGCCTTCCCACTATGTTGTGTGCAAAATGTAATACAAGTGGGTGGACTCTCCTCCCGCCCCTGACTAGATATTCGAGAACAGCTGTCAACATTTGTTGAGTGCCAGCGAGGTGCAAGTCCGTAGGAGACGCTCTGCACAGGCGCCTGTCAGTTTGAGCGGTTATCGCTCGCTTGCAGTCTGGGCCTTCTTTACGGGCGGCATAAGGGACTTGTCTGTGAAGCCCCTGTTCCAGTTAAATGTTTTAAACCTTCCATATAAAATTTCATCCTTCATCCCAATTGTTTCTCTTCTGGACAATCTATTTCACTTTATCATTAATTTTGGAGAGATACGAACGCCTGTCAAAATTTTGTTTGTCCCTTGGACCACAGCTCACTTCCTCTGTTGGAGTACTAGGGACTCTTCCAATATTTTAGTTGCAGCGTTCTCTTTTTGCAACAGAGCCCTTTATACTTACCTCTTTAGATGTTCTGTTTTAAATACTGGGAGCGCTTGGGGACAGGAACTGTGCACTTCTCATCTTTGTAAACCTAGTTCCTGTACAATCTCCAGCACAATTTAGGTGGTCAAAAATGCTGAATGAGTCGTCTTTGGGAAATAAAGATCCAGTATATCTTCCAGAAGAGAAAGTGGCAAATCTAAGGCAACCTAACTGCTCTCTGTTTCCCCTTGTAGGATTGCCAGAGATCCAGTCTCTGTGTTTCTGCTGTCCTTGTCTCTCAGATGCTTCCCCAAATGTGGCCCTTTCTTTCCTAACAGTGTGGATTGTTTCTTCTTCCAGACCAGTTCTCTCCTTTCCAAAGTTATTTCCTCCCAAAAAGCTATTTTTATTTATTGCTGACAATGCTTTCCGCATACACTGTTTTGTACTTTGTAATTTACATTGCCTGTCATTTTGGAATCCAGTTGCAAGATTTTCCACAACACAGTACAGTTATAATCAAATTTGTGTGCGGCTGCAGGTATACATTGACTAAGCTAAAAAAAAATTCGAATTTTATTTTTTAAATTAAAATAAACTGGAAGTATCAAAGAGGGAGCTGCAGAGCTGACTACAGATGAGAAAATGTCATCAGCACAAAGTGCTGCAATGGTTTGGGAAAGTAAATAACAACAAGGGAAACAATTATACAATTCTGTTTAAAGTCGTTCCATTGATTCAGATGTCCCCTAACATATTCAGAATACAGAGACATTGCCTGGCCTTCAGAATGCTGAAGGCAGAAAGGGTCAAAAAACTGAGGTTTAAAAAAACCTATTTAGGGCTGGGCGTGGTGCCTCATGCCTGTAATCCTAGCACTTTGGGAGGCCTAAGCAGAAGGATTGCTTGAGGTCTATTTGAGACCAGCCTGAGCAAGATCTAGACCCAAACTCCACAAAAATTACAAAAATTAGCCAGGCATGGTGGGGCGCCCCTGTAGTCTCAGCTACTCGGGAGGATCGCTTGAGCCCAGGAGTTGGAGGCTGCGGTGAGCTATGATGACACCACTGCACTCTAGCCTGGGTGACAGAGCGAGACCCTGTTGGAAAAGAAAAAGAAAAACTTGTCGATATGTTATCTTTAGAATCCAGTGTGATTTTTATAATAGTTTCAGCAGCATTGAAGATCAGGAAAGGATGAATGAATTAGTAAACTTGCTTACAAAGGAAACTTTTTCGATGGGATGAGATAGGCCATTCCCAAGATATTTTTAATTTGCCCGAATTAAAAGAGACAGAAAAGTTGGGAGCTTAAAACTCTGAATTGTTTTTCTTTAGGAGAAATGAAACAATAGAATATTCTTAGGAATGATCAGTAGCACTTAATATCTTTTTGTTGTTAAGTATGAGCAACTACTTATTAATTTTTTTTTCTTAGAAAGAAACATTTAATAGGGATTTATGAGCAGAAGTCATGTCTTGGGCAGGAGCAAGGAGAGACAAGATTGTAGATACACACCTACTTGTTAATTTTATCTGTATTTTCATATGGAAGGTAAATTTAGTCTGAATAGATTCTATTGACTCCCAACTGTGAACTTATTAGGCCCTATACAAACTTTCCAAAGATTACTTGTGGTGGAGAAAATATTTTAAATTCTCAAAGCCCTGCATTCAACCTATGAATTATACCAAGTTAAAATGCAACTCTCTCGCCAGTATGTAAGGAAACCCAGCCTTGCTGAACCTAGGCTGCTATACTCAGCATTGTTTCACTAATAATAGGTAAAAGTCCATATGTACCAGTGTTAAACTTCATTCTTTTTGTGACAAGTGCAAATCAAACTGTTGAATAAAAATTATTGAAGAAGTAAAACTTTGGAAGCATTTTTAAAGGACATCACTCAGGTCACTGACCATGGGTGTTATTTGAGCTTGTTGCAGATAAGATGTTCAGACAGGACAGTAGGTTCTTTGATAAGGAAAATGCTAGCTAGCTCATGAGAAGAGCTAAAGAGGGAGAACATAAATTATATTCTACGCTATTTCACTTAGATAAGATAAAGAAATGACACACTGCCCAGTCACAAGAAATGCCTAAGACAATGAAAAACAACTCCTAAATGCTACAACCATCTGGAACTTCTTGTGCATTACAGCCTCAGACCATTGGCTAATTTTCTGAGTGATTGATTGGATTGGCTGCTATAGAGTAAAGTACGCAGCAGCCAAGAGTTCCCATTGCCACATCCCAAAAGGGATTCAGGAATTATACCGGAGTGGGAGACAGGCCTAGGACAGGCCTAGGGAAACTGAGAGTCAAGGGTCTTCATAATGTAGCCCTAAATTGCCCTTTAGTTTCAAATCTCATACTGACCTATGTAAACTAATTTATAAGACATTGTGCTAGATGATAAGGGGACTAGGAAACTATATGAACTGGTCCTTGTCATCTTGAGACTTGCAATAAAGTTAAAGAAACAAGGCATTTACCAAAAAGATAGGCTACAAGGCACATATAAAATAATACACATGCAATAATAATAACAACCACATATAATATGCCAGTCACTATGCTAACAATTCTGACAGAAGCCCTCTACCAGAGACATTATTATTATTATTATGCCCGTTATGCAATTAAAGAAACAGTCTAGGGAGGTTAAGAAACCTGCCCTAGAGCCACAACTAATAAACTAGAGAGCCAGGATTGGAACTCAAGCAATCTGGTTCCAGAGCCAATACTCTTCATCAGAAGAATGATGATTTAAACAATTATGCTAGTTAGTACCGTGGACAAACAGATCTAATTTATAGTCACTTAGCATGTTACTAATTCATTCACTAATTTATACCTGGGTTTAAGCAGCTGTAATTCTGGGATGGGCCAAAAAGATTATTAGCTTTCACTATTGGTACTTGTATAAGGAAATTAGGTTTACTTCCATAGGAAATTACAAGTATAATGCACTGTTTTGCTGTTAATTTTTCCATTTAATTTTGTAGAAAAAGCCCAGAAATTATGTGAAAAGTGTCACTATTTTCTGATGGATGCATCCTTTGAACAACCACAGATGCAAATTATGAGTTTTTCATACCCAAACTCAATTTCCAATATTGCTGTTATTTCATTGAATATACAAAACTTTTGTTTCCTGCCTCAACTCTTATAAAAGTCAAATAAAGCCTCATGTACATTTTACTGTCAGCCACATTTTCAAAGGATTAGAGCTGTAGAGGTTTGTTATGATTAAGACAACATGTTTAACATGAAATCCAGCTATTTAGAGACAAATCAGTTAGTTTCTATGAAATTTTGCTAAATCCAGAGTGCACTATTTCTGATGCCACCACTTGGCTTGTTTGACGGCAATCACAGAGAAAGTGTACTGTGTTGCTGTTGCTAAAACTAGCCCCTTTAATTCAACCCACATTTGCTTAGTTATGGTCAAAAGAACCACAGTTCTAAGAGTATGCACCCTGCAGGAAGTGCCCCAGAGCAATATTAGCTCCAGGTGTAGTCGAGTGTAACCACAGTGGTATACTCTTTCAGGAACTGTTATGCACAACTGATTTGGGGCTCCAGCTGCCACAGTGTTTGGCCTCCTTAAAAAAAATTGTAAAAAAATGTTAAAAAAATGGTGATAAATCTGCAAAAATAAAAGATTGATCTTAGAAGTGCTCACTCATTTACCAAATAATGACAGGTAAAATTTAGATTCCTCGTTATTGATTATAGCCACTTAATCTTAAAATTAATATTTAAATTATTTTCACTTTTCTCTCTGACTCATGTGAATGGATAGTGCATTAGAATTTTAAAATAATGTTAATAAATTATAATTTAATAAATAAAGAGTAAAATGATAGCATTTCTGTCCACAGTTGGGAGCGAATAGAATTAATCAAGCTAAATTCGCCTTGCATATGAAAATGTAGGAAAAATTAACAAGTAATTGGTTGTACTTAACAACAAAAAGATATTAAGTACTGTTGATTACTTCAAATTATTCTATTGTTTTGTTTCACCTGAAGAAAAATAATTCAAGGTTTTAAACTCACAATTCTTTTTAAATTTGGACAAAATAAAAATATCTTAGGAATGGCCCACCACACCCCA